AAAAAAAAACTATAATTAAGAACTATCAATTACATAACCTTGTAATTTTTTTCATAAAAAACTCGTTCACCCAAGCCTAAGATGCGCAACTCTCAATTGATGCATTCAGTGGTTGGGCTTTTGAAAACTTCTCTGTTAATATGAACAATTATTAAGAATTTTTATTTTGATAAGCTTTTTCAATATTTATGATTTGAAATTTTAGAAATGGCTTGCAAAATCCTATTAAAAGGGCGTGCAATTGAAATTTCTGCCTTTAAATGTGTACCATTGTGCATCATATGGCGTAATCATAAAATCATCAAATGTGTGTTATTTAACGGAACAACATTAACTAGTGGTGTATGGCATCGTGCCTTAAGACAAATTGCTGGAACTTCCAGTATCCTAATGAAATATTCAAGAAATAGAAAATGTTTTCAAATAGATTATTATAATTATTTGAACTATATAGTGAAGTGATTTAGAACTTTAACTAGAATTAGAATTAAATTCCAAATTATTTTTCAAAATTCAGAATTTTTTTTATGAAAATATTTTTTTTTAATTTCTTTACCCAAAAGAAATCGTTTCGTCAACACAAGTATAAAGTTTTTTAAATATTTTAAATCGGATGCCTAGTTCTCTCAAAAACTGCCATTTTGCACGTTTATCTCTATATCTACGAAACGGCTGGACCTGCCTTTGCAAAAATCTAACCACCATTACGAATCGAATGTTTTTTGAATCATAGAAATCGGTTGATCCGTTCTCTTAAAAACCGACATTTTTTGCGCTTTTCGCTCCATATCTCCAAAGCCGCTTCACCTGCCTTTGCCAAAAACTAATCAGCACATCTCCCTATCAATAGAAATCGATTGCTTTTTGAATTTTTCAAATCGGTTAATTCATACGCCCGAAATCGTCGACAAAATATCTCTCCACACACACACACATCCATATATTCTGAGGTATGCCAAAATGTTCAGAAACCTCTGAAACGTGAAGATATGCTAAAATTTTCATTTTCGATTCTTGGCCCATTACAATAACTTACCCTACAGGAAGTTAAAAATATATCTTGCTTGCAAAGATGGTCATAAGCACTTTTTGTTGCTCTATCCGTTAAATTTACAAGGGTGTTTGTCAGTTCGTCAAATAAATAAAGATATAAAACAATATGATACCTAGATCATTTTATATTTATCTAAAAAACAAAAGTGTCCTGCAGCTTTCGAATGGGCAAAAACTTCCAAGCGCACATTGTGCCTCCATCCAAAAAACTAACATAAAATATAATGAACAAATAAATTTGATTGAAAAAAATAGAGGAATGAGATTGATATAGTAAAACACACGCCGTGATGCGTGCGCAAGACCCGTGGAGTTTTTCTTATTTCTCTTAGAAATCTAAATTAACCCTTTCCCTCACGTAACGACTTCAATTCTTCATCTTGCAGGTGCTATTCGTTCCCACGCAATTTTTTGTCAAATTCGTGATCGCGCCGAACACGCTTTAATGCATGTGCATTTGCACCCTACGGGCATTATACACACACACACACACTTATTATATTACAGGATTAAACCAGCGCTGGTAATCTGATATCAAGCAGTAGTAATCAATTGTTCACTTCACAAACTAAAATATAGTGTGCAAATATGTTTGCAATTAAAAATAGTCCTCGTGAGTACTGTGGTGTAAAATAGAATTACGTAATCTCTCACATAGTATAGAGCCACTTTCTGATTATTAAACAAAAACACATATGAAAAATGAATGTTATATATTTCATTTCACTATATTTTATAGTTCTTTTTCATTTGTTTTTAGTATTATTTTAATAATAATTAGCTCTTGTAGATATGCCACTGGGGGTATCTTCTAATTTGTAATTAACTATTTTACCATATTTATACAGATTGCAAAATAAAATTGAATAAAAAAACCACTGCAGAAAAGTGTTAAATTTTTTCGTCAATGTTTTAGCCCACAATTTTAATCGATTTTAAAAATTCAAAAAATTTTCGAAAGATTTTGGTTGAGAATTGCGCTGTTTAGTTTTTGGTAACGATCGGTCGAGCCATTTCTTAGTAATCTATTGTTAAAACAAAAAACCCTACTTTTTTATAGAACATTTTTGACAAAATATGGTCTTGAAGAATACTAAAAAATTTTACTTACTACCCTACGACAAGTGGTTAATTATGAAAATTCAAAAAAGTTTGCAAAATTTCCTACTTATATAGCAAAAATGTCATGGCACTTCTGTGATATAATGGGACAAAATTTGATTTTCATCGATTTCAAAATTCGTTGAAACTCATTAAGAAAGACCCTGATTAGTTTTGCCAAACAATCGGTCAAGCAGTTTCTTCAAAATTAACAGAGAGTGCACAATTTTTCTCCATGTTTTTGTAAGAAATCCTGAACGGACTTTGAAAATTGAAAACTGGTTGGAAAGGTATCATTTGGAAATCGTGCTGATTAGTTTTTGACAAAGATCAGACGCCAGTTTCTTTGTAATTAAATGATAAAAAAAATATTTTAGAGTGTTTTCAATGAAATTTAACATTCCAACAAAGTTTATGCATTAAACGAGAACCTTAAAATAGTATAAGCCTACGAAATTAAATTATATAATATTTTTAAGATTGGGAATAATACGCTTCGTTTTTAGGATATATGAGCACGTGTGTGATTACAAATAATATAAGTTGTTTGAAACATAATTGAAAATTGCATTGATTAATTTTTAGCGAAAGTGAAAAGTTTATTGTCGAAATAAATAGTTGAAAGTTTCATGTAAATAGCTAAATATCGATTTCCATCGATTATTACAAAGTTTACACGAAAAGCTAGTTCAAGGCAAAATGCTATACCTAATTTCCTTATATTTTAATAATTATTAACTTAATATATTTTAGATGTTTAATTGTAAATTTGGAGATCTCTACACTTACAAAGTAGTTAAAATATAATTAAACCAACTGATCAATATAAGTATTAAATATTAAAATATAAATGTTGATATGTCTAATTGTTATGATTGATAATTTCATCGCAAAATAATTAAGATGATTATCGGATTATTTTCAAAAACAGAACAAAATATATTGACCAAAATTATGTGAAAAGAAGGCGCTCATAATTTTCTCATATTTTATAAAAGAAAACTAAAGAAATAAACTAAAGTTTTTCACAGACTACGTTCGTTAATACTCG